CCCCAAAACCCCAAAACCCCAAAACCCCAAAACCCCTTTTTATTTTATCAGATTGAAATTTTAAATAGAAATAAATGGGCTGTGCAGGTAGCTCGGAGAAAGTAAGATTGGTGTAATAGAGATAGAAGGTACAAAAGAATAAACCTGAAAGCAGGAAGCCAATCAGCCAAAAGCCAGCAGGACAACATGTGGCTAATCAGGAGCCTCAGAATTTCACTGAGCAAGCCGATAGAGTTCAGAGGGAGGCCAAAAGTCAACAGCCTAAACCACCAGTCAAGAAGGAAGAACCAAAGAAAAAGGAAGATCCAAAGAAAAAGGAAGTAACAAAGAAGAAGGAAGAGCCAAGTAAGAAGCCCCAACCTCAAAAGAAAGAGCCTGCAAAGCCTAAAGGGAGGATGATTGATGTTCATAAACTTTCCGAACAAGAGTTTGAAGATCTCAAAGCTCCTTTATTTGCTAAAGTGATGAATTATTATGACCTCAAGCTTGACACGAAATATCAGGATTCGCTAGAAGAAAGAGTAGCCAGGCTCCTCACAAATGATGTCGGTGAGACCCTCAGGACCGAAGTCTCCTTCACACTTATCCAAGAGTTCAAGAAGTTCATGTACCTCGTGGCTGTTGACATTCTCGAACAGAAAATGGATGGAGTCTTGCAGTCTGGTGCTTATGAAGTTGACTCTGAAACCGGCCAGAAGTACTTTAGTTCTCCATTTCACCCTCCCCACATTCTTGATTTGGTGTGGAGATTCATCATACAAGAAGGCCAGATGTATGCAGACTTCTGCCAACACATCGTTGGAGGGTTCATTGACAGGCCCAACCCCAGGATCAGTCTGAAGTCGACTCTGTCAAGATACAACAGAGCGAGAGCCCAGCTCGAACAAAACGAAGAACTGTTGAGGCCATACTGGGGACTCTGGCCAAGCATCGCAAATGTGAATCTGCTTGAAATTGACTACGACTATGACATTCTGCTTCATGCAAAGAGCAAGCACGAAGACCTTGACACCATCAGAGAAATGATCACAGAACGAGAAATCGACAGCTTTGACTTATTCCCGATTAAACAACTAGTGGCCGACTGGAGACAGCAAAACATCAACGACCTCGAAGATGTCGAAGAAGCTGAACTGGACGAAGACGCTGATCTTTCTAAAGTGTCCAAGCTCAAGAATGTTGACTTCGAAGCTGTCTACGACTCGCTGATGGAATTCGAGTTCCATGATAAATTCGTGGACTCGGTGTGTGCAATGTTCAACTTGACAGCAGAATCTGGCCAGCTGTTCATCCGGGAGTACAAACACTTCTTGTACATTTACTTTTTAACTCAGGGGAATTGTGCTCCATCATTTGAGATCGACTCATTCTGGGACTTACACTACGCAAGCACCAAGGATTATAGGCTATTTTGCAAGGAAATATTTGGTGAGTTTCTTGAGTCAAAGAACTACGACTACTCAAGTGCTGGAGTTGTGGCTCGGACAAGGGACTACAAGAAAACTCTAAAAGTTTATGAAGATATTTTCGATAGTGAACCTGAGGAAGCATTCTGGGAAGATCCAGTAGATCTTACAATAAACTCAACTAATGGTCTTCAGCATCTTAATCTCTTCAAATACACTTGAATGTGTATTTATCACAAAGAAAACGAAGGTTTGGAGTACAAAAATACATTGCGAAGGAATAAGGATAATTTTGATGAGGACCTAGAAGACGAAGAAACAGATGCAATAAATCTTCGGAATAAAGCTAGAATTGAAGCCTCAAAATCTAATAAAATCTTCACTAATCTTAGAGAAGTGCAAGTTATCGAAGACGAAGAAAGCATTGATGAAGAAGAAGAGCGTAAGATGGCGGAAGAAATAGTTAAAAATGCAGAGAAATCTAGCTATAAGCCAAAGGATCGGAAAAAGAAGGCTAAGAAGGAAGAGGAAAAGAAAAACAAAGGATCTAAATCTAAGGGAAAAGGGAAGAAAGAAGAAGGCAAAGATTCAGAAAGTAAAGTCATCTTTGACCCAGTTTTAACCAAAGGTGGCTTTAAAATCCTTCCGAGATATCATAACATAGAAGTTTTTGAGAGTGAAGACATCATTGACCAGATGGAAGACGGACTCTATACTGACTATATCCATGTTGGCAGCAGTAAATTCAAGGAAATCTTTGATGTGGCTATTCTTTCACGTGCTGATGTTGATATCGCTTTGACTGATTTTAAGAAATCTAAGGATAGTGAGCTTAAAGAAGCAGCAAAGGAAGACTTTGAGATGGATGAGAGAATGGAAAGCCTCACTCTCAAGCAAACAGAATTTTACTTCAACCCAAAAGAGGAATTTGAAACTTCAACAGTTAACTACTCAGACAGACATTTTAGTACAACTGAAGAAAGTGATGAAGAAGATAGCGAAGTTGAAGAATCAGAAGGAGACTCTGAAGAATCTGAAGGAGACTCTGAAGAAAATGAAGGAGATTCTGAAGAAAATGAAGGAGATTCTGAAGAAAACGAAGAAGACTCTGAAGATAGCTCTAATGATGAAGCAAAAGATGCAGATCAGAATGAGGAAAGTCCTAGCTTGTCAATATAACTTAACCCTCAATAAAAGAGTTTGAAAAAGGGGTTTTGGGGTTTTGGGGTTTTGGGGTTTTGGGGTTTTGGGG